AGTTTAAGAGCCTTTTGGACCAAATATTTGGTCAGCAGAAGATGTATGATTATCGCCAACAATTTCCTTCTGATTGGCTAAAACTCATGAACGATTTTGAAATTAAGAAGCGCGGGGTTCGGGTCGTGCAGCAAAAAGAGACAAGAATTCGCCTGCCACGCAGTTTCGTCTCGTGGATCAACGATGCCGTTACAGCGGCTTTGAAACGCTATTCAAATGGAGAAATCAGAATCCTCAACGATGAGTACTTGTGCTTAAGTTCGAGAGTTATGGTGGAGCAGTTTCGGCCGGTATTGGAAGCCATGAAGGATCACTTGAGAGTGCTCCTTAGCGAGCCACGGCTTTCGAAAGTCACTGAGATGCTATTAGTTGGAGGATTCGCGAATTCTTTGATTCTTCAGGAAGAAATCAAAAGAAGGTTTTCCAGCAGGTGTTATATAATCATTCCTAATGATACCAGTACTGCTGTTGTCCAAGGGGCTGTCTTGTTTGGCAAGAGTCCGGGTAGAATAGTGCAAAGAGTTGTCAGCAAGACGTATGGAGCCGACTGCTGCCGAGAGTTTGTCCGCGGAGTTCACCCAGAAGAAAAGAAGTTTGTCGCGAATGGCGTGGAGATGTGTAATGATTTGCTTAACTACTTTGTGAAGGAAAATGAAGTCGTTAAACTCGGGCAGCGAATAAAAAGTATCTATCGACCATTGTATCCAAACGAAAAGAAGATCAAGTACTCTTTCTACGCGGCAGACAACCCCAATGCCCTTCTTATCACTGACGCCGGAGTAAAAAGGATTGGAAGCGTTGTGGTTGAGTCTCCTGAAACGTGGAGAGGTTTGGATAGGGAACTGGAGGTCAGTCTGTATTTTGGAAGAACAGAAATAACCGCAACAGCTCGAGACATTTCGAGTGGCAATACAGCGCAAACTACACTGGACTTTTTCCACGTCAAGTAATGATCAGTCTCAGCGTTTGGAACGTTATTCTTACGTTACATTTCTTGCGTTATATAACCGTGAAATTAAAGGGGAAAATATGATCTAGAAACCATAAAATCTTTATCATCGCCACTATGAAATAAGTTTTCAAATTTACAACATACTGCGTCTCAAGATTACAGAGGGTCACCTTACTGTTCGAAAGATGTCTTGAAATGTGCCAAAAATTCGACCTCGAATGCTGCCATTTTGAAAAACAACTCAATAACATATACGTACACGCGAAACTACAACACGAAGTTTACAAACAGCTGCTTCTCTATTTGATTCGAAAATGTGTTTTGGTGTGTCTCCTAATTGTTCCAACAAACTGCCAAGAGGTGAAACACTATTACAGGACTTAGACTAGCAATTTTTCTTGCGTTGGCCTGTCTTATGTAATGATTCCGATATCACTTTTTTTCAGTGAGAAGAATGATATGATTTCTCTAGCATACTTTTTCTTTATTACAGAAGAGTGTATCGCAGTGATGTACGGAATTTAAGTAATGGCAACTCCTTGAGATGTGTTTACAAATGAGAATATTTTTTTCTGTTGGTCAAATAAGTGATTTTCACATTATTCCCTTGGATGTAAGATAGCATCATAGACCTTAGTGCAGCCTTGGAGCTGAAAACATTAGACTCTTGTTAGGCAAACAGCGTAAAACGGAGGGAAATAAAGTTATATGTAGATGTACACAAAGAAATAATTATTTTGAACCGAATTTTGTCTTAAAATACTGAAACAACTTATGGGTTCCGTCAAAAGACTGCTGGTTCAACCTTAGCTTGAAGTAGGGGAAAATCTGACGGAAGTTTCTTCGCTGATTATCTTCAGTGATCTTAAATTGGTAAGCTTTTTTAAGCGCAATGCAGTTTCCTTTCCCAGTTGTCAAGTCTTCCACTTCTCGGTGAGTGACCAATGAAAACTGCCAGGATACAGGAATGAACTTGCACATCGCAAATTTTACATTGCCTCTCGTGATTAAAATAACCCCGGTCGCAAAAGAAAAATTTGTCAATCGCATTAGGCATTTTGTGTGATTTAGCGGACAATACTTGTATCTACGTCTACAAAGATATCCTCGTTTAGCGCCTTCGTAAAAGAGAATTGTGACAACAAGATTAAAATTATGGTAAGTCTTTTTTTATACAAATCTTGACACAAAAACTCATCAATTCTTCTGGACAAAACACTCGACGCCTTAATGAACAGTTATAGCTTGCACAATGAGGGAAGTTTTCCGAAAGGCAAATCTGTTTCATGTGGAACTGTCAGAATTTTTATTCAGCCAGGTTTGAACTTTATTTGTTGGAGACTGTTCAATCGCAGGAGGATACCAAGTGATGGCCGGGAGGGCTTGGGTTGAGGGTACTCGCTTACGGCAGTAAATATTTGTCTTGTGGATTTTCCTCTCTGCCGTCTGCGAAGGAAACGAATCTTTTGTCAGCGAATGGGCCCTTATGTATTTTGGTTTCTGTGGTGGTATTACACGGATAATAATCTATGTTTTATAATTCATTACTGTGAGGCAACGTTCGGGAGAATGCCAAAGGGTCATGGGATGTTCCATAAGAGGATAAAACCTGTGAGAGTTTGTGCCATCTTAACCTGACAACTGCAACTAATGCATTCATTTCTGCCCCTCGTGGAAGAAAGAAAATAAACCAAGAATTCTAAGTTTTCATGCAGAGCTTTCTTCGCGCAGAAAACAATGTCTGGGAGGGGTTTATGGTGCGATCTGCGGCTTAAATTCCCTCCATTCGCGAATTCTGAGAGTCGAAAAGATACAAGAAAGGAGGATAAAGAAAGAGAGCGCGGGAATACAACAAATGATAATGAAACAACAATCACTTGAGAATGGAATGAAGGCCAGTAATTTTGAGAAACTGAGTTTCTCTCCGTAAAAGCTGAACACTTTAATTTCTATACATTTAACGTTGATCAAGTTCATTGTACGTACTTTGATTCGGGAAGTTAGATCGTGGCACTCTCTGACAGTTTCATCTATCTCATGTTGCAGTTTCACGAAACGTTTCTTTTCCTTCTTTTGTTCTTGGGTGATTCTTTGGTCATCCAGTTCGAGTTTCGTTTGTAATTCCTGAGTAAAAAACGAATAACTTAATAACAAGAATTTTCCAAGCGTATCAATGAAGAATTTTAAGATTATAGCGTAAGATGTAAAATTGATATTATGACCATTGCATACATGCGTAATGATCTGCTTCCCTGTATTCCGGAACATTCAGCGTCTAAAAGGATTGCTACCTCCCACGGATAGGATGGCGTCCATAAAAGGTATTCCGTCAACTTTCCATAAGAGTTTACAGCTTCTCATTTATACTCCTGCTCAATAGCGAGGCCCTGAATTTTTCAGAGAAAATAGCTCATGCAGAAATGCAATTACATCCCTTGACAATTATCGATGATAATTTCTATATATTCAGTATTCATCTTCTCACCTTCAGCCTTTCGTCCTTCAGTTCCAGATCCCTATCGGCTTTTTCTATCTTCTGCTCCAATTCTTCTATGCTTGGTAATTTTGAGTCGAGTTGCAGGAGATTTTCATATCTCTTACTTTCGTTCTCAAGCCGTATGACTTTTTTTGTTTTCTTCCTATCGTTAAAATATAACATTTAGGTGGTGGTATCCTTATTCAAAATTCCTTATTCCCTGATAAATGAATACTACAACAAATTTCCTTTTTCACTCTGAAAATGGCATTGTTCCTGTTTTTTAAAAAAGATGCGATCGTTAGGTTTTCTGTGATTTTCACTCAAGTGATATCATCTATTTGCAATCAGCATTTCAAAATTCATATCATTAGATATATCTTCACTAAAATCCCGCCTACCGCCAGTGGGATGAAATTTCTGAACTTAGTTTTCGCCTGAAATGTTTTACACTTAATAATTAAATAATAAAACACCGCCACCGACGCGGCACCGCAGTTTATTTAGAAACTTACACCCTTTATGTTTTATGCCGGACCTCGACATGTCATTGAGGCCAAACCACTCTTTAAGTAATTAGCATTTACTCACCTAACAGTAGCATCAGCATCAACTCGATTCTCCTCACTGAATCTCACATCTTTACGAAATCCCTTCAGGGACAGATTTGCCATATCTACAAAGTCATGTCTATCGTGAATTTCCCTTGTTTGAGATCGTTGAAGTCGTTTCAGTGCTCTGTTTTCGTGACGCAAGTTGTCCACTGTATCACTCAGGTTTTTGGCTTCAAACTCCAGGCTTTTTGCTTTGTGCTGTGTTCTCACAGCGATCTCGTACAGCAATCGATCCATTGCCGTTTGGTGCACGGTCTTCTTTTTCCTTTGTGTTGATAATTTAGAGATGCCTTTTTGCTTTGACTTTGCTCTTCCACCTCAAAATAAGTTTAATAAACCAAATCAACAAACCATACATATTTCCCTTCCTATAGGAATATTAGTCCTTACCTCTGTGGGCGCATACAGTCATTAGATTTAGTATCTAGAACCAAAAACATTTCTGCTTCGACTAAGGTTGAATGAGTCAAATCAAAAAATCTTCCATAATGATCTTCTCGAACCCTGCGACCTGAGCACTGAATTTGTCGAAAAATATCGTAGACCCGAGGCGAATAAGGATTTTTACCAAGTTTTTTTGCGGTAACTAAAGTTAGAAATAAATCAAATATTTTATTTTCGTATTTGTAGGGACGAGGTGTTTAAAGTTTCAGTATCTATCTAATGGGTAACTGGAAATGTTTTTGTTTTGAACATTATTTAACTATACAATCAACTCTTTTGCTACCACCAGATAGTTTTTCCTTAGTACGGCTCGAGCAAGCGAGGTTAATAGGTAGTTTATTATATGGCACTCGGGCCAAACTTGTTTAATTTCACTTCGCCGGCTTCTGTAACCAAACGTGCACGGCTCAGAACCAATCAGGACGCTCGGATTTACCTCGAGACTACCTTGCATTACAATAAAGTGTGATATATTTAGCGAGCGCGCAGATTACCACAATAGTAAAATATTAATGAAGTAAGAAATGGAAACAAAACTAAAACAAGAGAGTTTACTGTGTGAATTAAGAGGAAAGGAAAACAGATCTTGTTTAATTTTGTATTTTCTGTATCAGTTATCTCGCTCGGCGTTTTCTTCGATTTCCAGTTGTTATTGCAAATAAGACTGAAAATCACATCAAAACTTGCAGCGATTTACCTGTCCATATCTAAACTCTAACATATCAGTTACCATGGAATCAAAACACCGGCAGTAAACCACAAAAAAGATATATCTTTCGCGTTTTTCTCATGGAATTAAAATTTGCTCGATTTCTTCCTCGAAAAAATTCGATTCTAATTGAAAATATCTTCTCTGAAATTGTGTTAAAATCGACAGACAAACCCTAAGTGATGTCTTCATTCAAACCGAAATCAATTTCACCTCAACTTAAGTCGAATCATGGCTCACAAAATTATCTTACCTTACGCGATCTGCCCTAATGGATGACTGTTATTTCTCTCGTAGGAAGACAATTTTTTTAATCCTCCATCGTTTTGACTGGAAGAAATATGTCTCCCTTTTACTGAATATTAGGAACGTAATTAGAATAATTGAACCCGCGCTCTGATTAAACTTGGTTGTGGTTGGTTAAATATTAAAGAAGAGATTGCAAAAACACAATCATTGAAACAATGCAATTTTCAATGTTTGAAATAATCTTTGTCTGTTTTATTTTAAATAATTGAAAACAAAACTCAATAAGAATAATAAGCGCGTTAAACTGACTTATGGCCGGGAGTTTCTTTCTCTATGTCATTTATTCATTTTCCCATCAGCCAAGATGACTTTTTTCTATCAAATTCCATAAAATTTTAACTATCTGAATTTTAGGAAAGGGTTTTCTCATCCAGAGCATTATGACTTTATGATAAAAAAATACTTTATTTTTAAGTGTGATTTTATCAAACTTTTTGTTTTCGTGGAAAACATCCTACCGCTTTCAAGAATAGCAAAAATTAATATTGTATGCAGCAATCGAAACATAAACAACTCAGTTCCATATCAACAGCTGCCTCACTGAATGGATAATTTTAAAGACCCTTCTAGCGTGCTATCATGAGTGTTTCGAAATACATTGTGAAAAAAATCATTATAGCTCGGGCCGTATAAGCTGGGATACTTACAATAATTTAGCAGTTGAATTAAATATATCGTGCGAAAACTTAATATTTCTGTATCATAATACATTTATAAGTTACGTAGGATACGCCCTAATACGATATCCGGGAAAAGTGGAAAACTTTGAACCGCATAATTTAAGTCCAGTTTAAATCCAGTTTGAGATGAACGCTTTTAAGTTGCTGTGCCAACTCATCCTAGAGTAAAAAAGTAGTTTAAATAATCCTCATAAAATTTAAACGATCTGGATTATAGATTTCAGCGACGAAACGGTTAAGATTTGGCCATGGCCTGGCGTGTTTTAAGCGAATCTCACATGGGAATTTTAGAAATTCGAGCTACGTGTAAGGTAAACTTGATAGCAGAAAAGTTCTTCTTTTATCGCAGAGAAGCCTGCATGGTGTTGCGAAAATGATTAAAGTCAACTTGAAACACTAAGAGGGTTCCTCCAGAAAAGTTTCAAATGCTAAATGAATTACCCTTCGTTGTTGGCCGAGAATCATACGTGTCCAGCGTGGTTGCACGTTGGTGTTTTTCACTCTCGTCGGAAGAACTGCTACGCGAGCTAATATCACTGAACATTTCTTCTACAACTGCCCCAAAAGACATTTGTTCATGTATCGTTACGTCGGCGGATCGCAATGTAATAGAGCGCTGCACTGCATTACATTTACGTACATATATCGTCGTTATCAGAGGTAGGCCGGTGGCGGTTACTCTAACGAGATATTATATTGTTTGAGAGAGTTGTTTGGGGGCTCCTTTGATTGGTAGAGAAAGTTGTTTTGTTACTCCTAGAGTGAAAATAAACACTTAATTGTTCATACTTAAACGATATGTTCGTAGTATCCACCAATTAATAACTGTATTTGGGGTTTTCACTGACTCAAGTTACTTTCTACTTTCTTCTTGGGCAGAATTAAAATGCTAGAGGGTCCTGATGACTTTTTCTTTTCATGAGGCATTTCCACTTTTTCCCGTTAATTGCATTCGTAACAAAGATCAACAATAATAAAAAAATACCGTTCACGCGAAGAAGTGACGAAGACAATTACTTCGAATTCTTTTATGAAAAAAAGGGAGATAAACAAAAAAAAAAAACAAAATGAAAACAAAAAATAATAAAAGCAATCTTATTCCAAAGAGTACTGTTAACTATAGATAAACTAATAACAAACCTGGTTTCTTGTTTGGTGAGTCACCACTTTGTTTCTCTACTAAGGTGAACGTAGAACTTTTACTGCTAACTTTTTCAGTCAAGGAGGTTGCACAGCTGTTTTTTCCATTGCTGTTTGAGCTTTTGCTTTTTCTTGGGTGGCAATAATAAACTGAGCCCTCTGTGTCAGAGAGTTGATTCAACGTGTTCGAACACTTTGTCAACTGGCCTAAAAAATAAAAATATCAGAAAAGAATCTACCTTATTGCCTCTCTAGGACGAAAACATGACTTTTTTCGTTTCAGTCAGTTATTCCCTGTCTTAAACGCAAACCACAGCTCACGTAGCATCCTGAATGGAGATGAAATTCATGATTTCCTATAGAAGTGAGAAGACAAGCATCCACGCCTCCTTCACACAGGAGAGGCGACAAGGATGTTTTCCTCTCCTGAAGAAAAAAAAAGCCTTTCCACGGACAGTTCCCCACAACAATGGACCATGGTCCAATCAGACGCCCACCAAGTTATTCTGATAATTGAACCTATTTAACAATTTTCGGGAAATAAAGAAAAAAAAAGAAAGAGAAAGAAAAACAAAACGCGGTAGCGAATGGGAAGTCAAATGCGAGGTTAAGTTAGCGTATTTACCTTCTTCTTCCTCCAAAGAGGGCTCCGGACTAATATCTGCTGATGCTCGAACACTTTCGATTTCGCAGTCACCTTCATTATGAAAATTACTTTCAGGAGTTTCCTTCTCTGAAACGTAATGGGCATCATGGTATAGTCTGACTAATCCCGTTTCATTGAACAGTTTTACTGTTAGCGGATAATTTATGAACTTGTTTGTTTGCAAGCTGTACCATTATCCTAGATTGACTGGTAACATGTTTCATGCGAACTGTTAGGATAAGCAATGTCAAAACTACACAGTATGGAAAAATGTCAGAAAGATAATGACCGAGCTTTAATTTCAGCGTTCTCCTTACTCTACCTGAACACAGTAGTAGAACTATTTTTCCTAGTTTATTCGGAAGACCTTTATTATAACTCCGATAACCTGAACAAAAGATTATCCCTGATAATTGGAGACTTCCATATATCATGGATAATTTCTCTGACTTCAGAGAGAATCCTTGTTTTGAAGAGTATTGTTTGTCAAAAATCCCATAATTCCCTTGGAGCATCGCGAGTCTAATCCGCCCATTCACACCACCAAAACATGTTTAAAATCAGAAGCAGAGAACAGAAAAACTGAGTTTTCCATAGCATTCAATTAATCGCTCACGTGTATTTTCAATACGCTCAAACATCGGTTTAAGGAGCTTCTGGTAAAAAAAACAGATCAAACCCATGTTTTGCAACTTTAAAAACATAATTCTATGCTTTGGTGTGAATGGGGTATAATAAGACATCTGGTGCGGCCAGGAGTTCACTTACATTATATACCATTGAATGGATGTTTATATGTAGAAATGGCTTTTTCATAATCGTATTTTTTTTTGGACATATACATCATTTAATTTTGTACTTAGTATTAGAGCGTTCTCACTAATAACCTCAAGAGATTATAAGCTGCTAACCATTAGGAAATTGTTAGTCGACGCTACTTTATAATTTGATGTTTTTTTAATACTTTGGATCTCCAGCAAGCCGGTGGGCGGTATTTTAGAAATTTTTTAGATACAACTCTTTCGAGAGCTACCCGTTTTCCCACGAAAATTAAGGTTTAGAAACATAAAGTTTGCTGTCAAACGAATTACACTTTTTACCTCATTATTCTTGCCACAAAGAGAGTATTGTTTTACTTTCTTAGGAAATATTTCACAAATTTTAGATAATTTTGAAAAAATCTTTCGATGTTTCATATTTTCGTCATTCAGCGGTACCACAAGATTACAATTTTTGGCAACTGAAGATCCTAACACTGGTCGCGTTCTTTGTCAAATTTCGTTTGTTTCTTTTTCCTTTCTAAGAAAATTCTTTTGTGCATTAAACTTTTCACGATATTTGAAACTCATATCTATAATCAAAATTTAAAGAAAAAACGTTTCTGAACAAATATTTCCCTTCATTTTATTTTAACTTATTAGAATAACTTACCAATTTCCATTACGAAATCTCTCTGTATATTTTTACCACAAGTTGAGGTATGAGTTCTTTTGAATGATCAAAGAAGGTGAAAAAATATTTTGGTTTGAATAATCATCTGTCAGGTGAATTTTCAGTTTGTTGCAATTTAATCGCTAATTGCGGAAGGTGGTAATTACTTAATAATCTTGAGAAACAACTAAAAGTCTCACATATTCTTTTGTTTGAATTTCTATTCCGGATTTGATCAGAAAGCGACCACCTGAGGAAATTTGAGCGCGTTTTGATGGATTGAGGAATCCCGGAAAACGAACTTATAACGGTTTGCTAATTAGTGCAGAGGAAAATTACTTTAAGTAGATGAACAACGTGGCAGATAATTTTACAAAGGAGACCAAAGTTCGTCAATTTAGCAAAATGTTTCAGTTCCATCTTTCTCAAGTCAAGTCGTGAAATCAAAATTACAAATTATTATATGACAAAGTAGCCTGGGGTAAATGCGAACGTTCTGATTGGTTCTTACTTGATCCGTATTTTGACATATGGACTGTTTCCGTGAAAATGGTCATACGCCGAGTATTTTTCGGTCGCGAAAGCCGGTAGAATCAAAAGAAAAAGGTTGGCGAGGGAGCCGTATAAAAAACTACTTACCAACCTCGCTTGCTCAAGTCGTACTCGCTCGGTTAGTAAGAAGTTAATGCAAAAAGGGAAGAACTTTGAAAAGTAGAGAGACTCACTTTTGGTTAGTCTAAAAAATTATAACTCATGCAAAAAAGTTTTGGTTTAACAAATTTGTGTACAACTTTGCAAAAACAGGTGCGGTGTCAGAAATTAACCAACAACAAAAATAAAAAATGTTCAAAGATAAAAAAATAATTAAGTAAATGAACAAAATGGTAGACAACTATCGTGTATACTTATGACCGTCAAAATAATAATAGCTATTTAGTACCTCGCGAAATGACGCGAAACTTACTGTTTGTCCATGTTGAAATTCCCATTCAAGTAAGCTATTGAGTTTTTGCAAAATTTTTAACCAATGTTAAAACGAGAATTGATTTTATCTCAGAGCGTAACCTGAATGTGTAGCCATTCTTTAAGCCAAGTCGAGGCCAGGGGCTTGGACTCCAGTCACGCAACTGCTTCCTATGGGTCAGTTGTCACAATTCTGTCACGGGATTTGCTATTCATTCTTTCCATGGTGCTGGAATCATATATTTGCTGGTTTGTTTCTCAGTAACTGATAAAAATGGCGACTCAGCTGAAGGTATGTGATTTCTGAATGTTAAAAAAAATGCTAGATTTTATTCTGAATTATCGTGAATATCAATTTCTTCTTGCTTCTTGACGGAAGCCATTTCGTTACCAAACAATACCCCAGATTTTCCTTGATTATGATCATCGAAGAACGTTCGGTACTTCATTTGACACTCTTCTCTCGTTGTGAAATACATTAGGATAACATTGTTCAGGATGAAGTACAAAATGATTAAAAATAATCGATTTTCTTTTTATACTATCGACAATCCCTGGGATATCAGGGGGGGGTCGAGACGGGGGGGGGGGGGGGGTTAGCGAAGAGTGGGGAGGTTAAGATATACAAATTCTCCATCAGAGCTACTTTATAATGTATTAAATCCCACCAGATGGAAAGGGTTTGGCTTCCATTGACCTATAAAATTCTTAGTTCTGTTGACCAATAGCTAGAAGAGCTTAATACATTATTGAAGGAATGATGGCTGAAGCATAGGCAGTGATCTATCTATCTATAGGTGGGTTAGAGATTCTTGGACTGACCAACCTCTTTTGCTGGTTATGGGTAAAGTGTGGTTGGCATTTTGATTAATTTTACTTTTTCTAGATGGATTATATTTATTATGGGTATAGTCATGGTTCAATCATTGTTTGATATCTTGGTCAATGGTAAGTCAAGTGAAGTACAGAAAGACAAAGGTAGACTGACACATGAGCAATACTCCACCAATGTCCATCAGTAGAGTGCCTATCAGCTGACCATCAGTTGATTATTAAGGGATAATCAACCAACCTTTACCTTTTCATCAACGCACTATTGAGCACTATTTCAAGCCAACTGGCTTGAAAATGTTTCAGTCAACATCAAGTGATGAGTAAATGGACTTCATCAGCCACCCATAGCACAGTTATTACCATTCAGTACATTAACAGTCAGTTTCAAATCCTTGCCATCTCCTAGACTTGTTGTTTTCCAGATACAATTGCTCTAAACACTGGTATATGAGCTGCACTTTCAGATAAGCAGCATCCCAAGTTTGACAACTCAAAGTGGAGTCTTGAGAGCTTTGCTCTGATGTTGTTTATTAATTGCTCCACTGAATGTATTTTCTCACCTGAATTAGGGCAATAGATTTATCTGTCATAGATTCTGGACCACTAATCCAGACCAACACATTTCACTATAAAAGTTCACCCTTAAAAATTATGCATACATCTTGAGACAAAATTATTTGACCCAACTAGTGGTAAGGCCATAGTGAAAATTAATTACAGCAAGTAAAGCTTAGTGATGTACAGGGGAGGGAACATGGAACCAAAAGAAGGGAATGGAGATACCATGCAAGAAAATTTCCTTTTCAACTACTCCTTTGCTACCAATTGTACTTCAATTGATGGATTTAATTATCTTTAATTTCGAGTCAACTGGTAAAGTAATTTTAAAAACAAAGGAAGAGTTATATAAACAGGGCATACTGTTTTTATTATGGTCAATAATCAGGTCAATAGTAAGGTGCTCACTGGAGATGTTACTGATCAAGCAAGTTGGATTAAAAAGGTACATGCAAGGTGCTAATAAATACTTGTGTTATAAATATCTAACACCTATCTACCCAAGTGAAAGTAGTCAGTGGTGGATATTTACTGGTATTTACTGGTAAATATCCACCACTAACTTCCTCCATGGAGGTGAATAGTTGTTTTAGCACATACTAAAGCAGTGAGATAATATAATACAAAAAGATGATTTAAGCTCATTTATTCCTGTAACAGTTACAACATTTTCAAGCAGAAGTCCCATGCATGTTACTCAGAGCTGAATAACAAAGGGTACCAGAGTATAAGTAGCCAATCAGAGCAAGCCTTCAATGCTATGCACTCTTTTAATATATACATGTACTAACAATGTTCCTAGCACTATATTGTCACTTAGTGTCTGAAAACTATTACACAGATGTAAACACAAATTCCTTTTTGGCCAAGTGACACTTGAGTTACTCCAAATAGTGTCAAGTATAATTGATTATAATCCTTTTTTAGCAGCCATGGATTCAATAAATCAATCACTCTGTAGGAACTGAAACCACACACCACTTTTTGGGCAGCAATGAAGACCAGCCTTGAGAGAGAAAGAGAAATCAGTGCAGCTTGAATCTCAGAAAAAAGTGTCAATTGAGACAGGTTCCAAATAACTGAGCCCAAGTTAGAGTTCATTTAACTCTAGGATCCAACTTAAGCTGCCCCAAAAGCATCTAGGTAGCATACGCAGTAATTTAACCTAGAATTAGTTTTAAAAAAATTGTTTTACCTAAATTATTTATTTTTCCTAATTTTTCCTTTTGTTTTCCTAAGATTGGGGCAAGGGCACACATGAGGGCCATTGGATTCAAGGCAGGTTGAAGTTTTTTTAAGGTTTTAGTCATTAACTAGTGCACAACTAGTTTTTTCCTGGTTCAAGACCCAAATAATATGATAATTAATTAAATCAGAAGTTCATAGTTCAAGTGTGTTTGCCCTCAATCATGAATTTACACAAATTTTAAACAAATTTTGTGAGATGATCAATTTCATCAACACAGGTAAACTTCCTAGACTTAATTTTTTTCCAGATGTTACACTTTTATATATTTTAATATTCAGTTAACCTCAATTCCTATTAATTTGTCACTCATACTCCCAAACTCAAAAATTTTATGATAAATCTCTTAATATATTCACACACAATTGTTTGGTCAGAAATGTCATCCGAAATGTTTTTAAAAGTGAGACAAGACAAAATAATTATTCTTACGTGTACTGGCATAAGACTAGATTAATTCAGGGTAATAGAATGTACTTAGATGATAATAAAAATTTTGATGTCTTAATATTTGTGGAAATGCAGTCGGAAAGGATC